AACATACTGAAAAAATCATTACAGTGTTAAAGACTTCCATCAAGAAAGCCCATCACTGTTTTGCGCAAATAAAACCTGCAAAAACTACTTGACTTGATTCACCAATTCTGCAACTGAATCATTTTATCAGAATAATATATTTTTCTACCTTTTATTTCCAGGCAAATTTCAGAAACGAATCCAATATCTCAAACATATATAACTAGTGGCAGTTACTCCACAAATGGCCTTTCATATCTGAAGATCATAGAGTTTCTAGTGTGGATCAAGAAGAAAAAAGAACAGTGATAATGTTACTCATCATGTTGAATGATTGCTATTTATGCTTGAAGGCGGCTGAATCTTGTAATCATATTCTCCTTTCATGTTTATAATATTTTGTCCGTAGTATATAGTCTACTGGGCATATGTTGGGTGATTGCTGGTTCAGTTAAGGATGAACCATGGGTGTGGGGTGTGATTTGTAAGAAGCCAAAAATAATACAGTTTATTCATCTTACTACTTTTTGGGTGGTCTGAAAAGAAAGGAACAATAGAACATTTGATGAGTGTGTTGTGGATATGGACAGAATTAGAGATAGGTGGGTTAATGTTTTTGGATCTCTAATTTTGAGTCATGACCTTAATGGCTGGGATGATTTTGGGAAGATCTGCGATGTATTAATCAAAATGTAAATATTTGTACACGAGTGGCGCCGTATACTTAATACACTTTTTACCTAAAAAAAAAAAAAAATGTTACTCCGTACGCCAAGCAAAATAAACAATGCATTCTAACAACATTACAAATTCCAGTTACTCCATCACCCACCCCATGGGATCTTTCAGGAAGCAAGAATAATATCTCTAAGAAGATCAAATCCTACATCAACACCTAACTCATAAGCATTTCATTCCTTCTAGTAGCTGTTACTCCAGAAATGGCCTTTGATATTTCTCAATCTCCCTTACCTGGAGATTACAGAGGTTCTAGTGCGGACCAAGAACAAAAAACAACACTAGCAATGTTACTCCGTCAGCCATCATTAAAAATTTCACTTCATCAACTTCATACCACATAACATTTCACCTTACAAAGGAAACTTTGCCCAAGTCATGGGATCTAAGATGATCAAATCCTACATTAACACCTAACTCATGAACATTTCATTCCTTCTAATCATAGTATTAATAACAGATCAACACTGTCCAACCTCTTCTAACAGAGGCTATTCTCTAATCTATAAATCAATTATCAGAGATCAATCATCAGATACCAATTTCTTTCAACTGCAACAAGCATGAAGGCAACCCATTGAGCCATTGCAGTATTACAATAAACAAGATACTGAAACACAACAAAATTACCCATCTTGACAAAGAGCAACATATTCTTCATACTAATATAGAAGAAAAAATTTATTTCATTTTATTTTATTTTTGGTGGTAAGCAACGAGTTTTATATTACACAGGACAAGGGTGTATAATTGAATTCCTTTCACATCCTAAAAGACCACCACTACCATCATCACTACTAAAACAAAAAACCCAAAACTACAAAAACAAATCAGAAAACAGACACCAACACCAGACAAAATAAAATGCCCTTATTAATCCGATCGACTCGCAAACCTCTCTACCTTCTCGTCCTTCAAATTAAGACCCACCATGGCCTCGCCCAATCCGCAGCTCACTTCCGCTAGCATGTCCGGGTCGCTGTAATGAGTCACCGCTTGCACGATGGCTCGGGCTCGCCTCTCTGGGTCTCCGCTTTTGAACACCCCGGAACCAACGAAGACGCCGTCGCAGCCCAGCTGCATCATCAGCGCCGCATCGGCAGGAGTAGCCACCCCTCCGGCTGCGAACTGCACGACGGGCAACCTCCCCAGCTGCTTGGTCTGCATCACGAGGTCGTACGGGGCAGCGATCTTCTTCGCGAAGGAGAACACCTCGTCATCGTCCATGTTCCTCAGAACCCTAATGTCCCCCATGACGGACCTCACGTGCCTCACGGCCTCGATGACGTTGCCGGTACCAGCCTCCCCCTTGGTCCTAATCATGGCGGCGCCCTCCCGGATCCTCCGGAGTGCCTCGCCGAGGTTGCGGCAGCCACAAACGAAGGGGATTCGGAAGTTATGCTTGTTGATGTGGTTCTCCTCGTCGGCGGGAGTGAGGACCTCGCTCTCGTCGACGTAGTCGATGCCGATGGCCTCGAGGATTTGAGCCTCAACGAAGTGGCCAATACGAGCCTTGGCCATTACAGGGATTGTAACGGCTTGTTTGATCTCCTTGATTAGCTGAGGATCGCTCATACGAGCCACTCCCCCCTGAGCTCGGATATCCGCAGGGACCCGCTCGAGCGCCATGACGGCACAGGCACCAGCCTCCTCGGCGATGCGAGCCTGCTCCGGCGTGACGACGTCCATTATGACACCGCCACGGAGCATCTGAGCGAGGCCGACCTTGACGGAGAAGGGGGACTTCTTGGTCTCGGTTATGGCTCCATTTCCGTAGACTGCTACTACTCCAGTTCCTGCCATTTGCTAGTATCGAGAGAAAGAGAGAGAAGGAGAGAGGAATAGGCAAAACGTGAGAGATGCGAGGTTGAAGAGATAGAGGAAGAAGGAGGAGTGGTGGCGAGAGAGAGGCGGCGAGGAGGGGATTTAAGTAGAGGAAAGTGGTTGAAACCCTCGGAATTGCAGGGTGTGGATCTGGTTGTGATTGGCTCATGTCTGAATCTGGTAAGTTGATCCAACGGTCGAGAAAAGAGTCTGGGTTGATTAGTGTAGATTCAGTTACAGACTAGCTTTATTGAGCATTGATTTGCGGGGAGTTGGCTACGTGGCAACACAGGATTCCAGCGGTCTGCGTCAGAGGAAAGTTTGTGGACTGTGCCATGGCCTTTAGGGTTTTTAGAGATTAAAATAATCCCACTAATCAGTAAAAGTACAAACCGAGTGATACCGAACAATCAGCAGATTGAGGTTGTGATCAAGAGCAAAAAAAAACAATAGTTAGTTTATTTATTATTATTATTATTTTTAAAAAAATATATTGAATTATAGCAGCTGAGTGAGTGATAGTAAATTAAGATAAATTCCGAATACTAAAAAAAAAAAAAAAGACAATCACCATTTATGCAAAGAGATAA